TACGTTATGAAGGCTAACTGCTGGCTTTAAAATGCAGCCAGATATCTGCATTATACCCAGGAGTGTATGCTGTGTGTGTGTTTTATGGGCACTTTTTTATTACACCTAGACTATGCATAAATGTTGAGGGAGCTGATGAAAAATTGACAGTGAAAATTTAAAAGGGATTAATCCATCCATCCATCCAATTTCTATACCGCTTATCCTTCAGGGTCGCAGGGGAACCTGGAGCCTATCTCAGGGAGCATCAGGCACAAGGCTGGGTATACCATGGTGGGGTGCCAATCCATTGGAGGGCACAGTCTCATACACATACATACACTCACACACACTCATACCCTCATACACAGACACTTTGAACATGCCAATCAGCGTTCCATGCATGTCTTTGGACTGGGGGAGGAAACCAGAGTCCCCAGAAGAAACTACGCACACACAGGGCCGTGGCGGGAATCGAACCCCCAACCCTGGAGGTGTGAAGTGTTAATCATTGCTTTATACACTTTTTTACACTCGCAGGAACAGCAGTCTGAGGTGGAATGGAGAACTCACAGTTATAATTTTTTAGTAAATGCATGAAAAGCAGCACTTCTGTTGGTTATGACAGATAATGTCAATCTATTATTTAGCCAGGCTAGCAAATTATCCTGTTGCAATGATATAAGTGGACGAATGACTTTTCAAACCATAGCAAAATTTTCACCCATATCTACGCTAACCCTAGCTCACTACTCTACTTCTTTAATCCTGTTATCCAGAAGGTTGTTAAAATACCTGAACACAGCCTGAGCCAGTATAAGTTTAATGCCAGGAACAGATGGTCCATGGAGAGCAAGTGAGCAAAATAAGCTGTGAACAAGTAGTTTCTGTCCTCCTGGCATAGTTGGACTCTATTGATGGAGTGCTTTGATTCACACTGCCCTCTTCTGGTTGAGACACACACAGCTTGGCAGAGATATCTAAAATCACAGAATGCTTTCTGGAGCATCAAACTAGGCAGAAATCCTCATACAACATTTAAGTAAATTAGATGTTTTCTCGCCCTCAAATCCGCTACTGTGTTAAATGGGCTGGAAATCTGCCGTGCTGGAATGTGGGTCAAAACGCAGCTGGGACCGAAACGAAATTCCATCCAGCTGCATTCCAGCAGGTTCAGAGACTGGCAGGCTCTCAGAGCACTCACCTGGTGCCAGCATACACCTCTCCATGCCTTCCTTCAGAGGCTCTGAGATAGTGGATTGTTTTTCAGCTAGTTTTATTGCTCCTCGCTGTGGTATTCATGACCACTGACATTTGTGACTAGCTAAAAGAAGCAGGAACTGATAAGTAAGATTCCTGAATACAAGTTTGCATTGTTCTGGCTTGATGCCAGTAGCATGATTTTTTTTTTAATCCTTTGTGTCCATTGTGTCCTGTCTTTGTGTCCATTGTCTCCATTCCTGGCTTGACTAGGTCTGAGATATGAGCAGTGCAGGTAGGGGAATCTCAAGGTTAATGTGATATGATACGTCATGAGCCATTAATGGCAAGGCATTCAGCATTCAGTATGATTTAACCACACAGCTAGTCAGGTGGAATGACAGAAGAAAGTGAATATAAAGTGAGGGAAAAGAATGTAGTGTTTGTGAGTGTAAAAAAATTGAAAACATTATTTGATGTGAACAATACCTGCCTTTCAAAAAGTTATCTATTCTCTTAAGTACAGTTTTGCACAGTTTTTATAAGGAAATCAGTTTATAGGTCTTTCCAAGCATCTTGGGTATGCTTTCTTTACCAGCATGTTAAAATGTTCTGTGTATCATACGTTTATTTAAAAAATAAATGTTTGGAAATACCTTGTGGCCGATGCTCCCTGGGATAGGCTCCAGGTTCCCTGTGCTCAACCAGCACACTACAGTACAGACCATTCTATTGTTAAATTTCCATACTCTGTCTATAAGTTGGTATGTTGGAATCACCTTCGAACATCACTTTTTATATGCAAGTTATACAAGTTTGTCTACAGTTCTGTTGCTATGGCCCTAAATGAAACATTGAATAAATAGTTCATTGCACATTTTTCAAGGTTGTGACAGAGCTGCTCTGTCTTATCCACAGACCTCTGGCCCTGTGCCCATTTCATTAACAGCCACTGTGTTTCAGATGACTGAGATAGCAGAGTAGCAGGACGTTCCTGAGACTAAAATAAATGGGAGAGAAAACACAGTGAGTGTGTGATGGAGGGTGGTTTTGAGGTAACACACTGGCTGCTATGACAACAGGAAGGGAGTTTATTGTCTCTGTGGTGATCTCTGTTATTGTTGGTCACAAGGGTCTGGTCTGGTAGCCTGGTCTAAAAGAGTGTTTGTGTTTTTAAGTGTGTGTGTGTGTGTGTGTGTGTGTGTGTGTGTGTTTCATATAATTATGGGTGTATCCAGCATGACCCTGTCTGAGGTCACTGAGCCTGTGACCTTGTCAGCTTGGTGTAATACATGTTCCACATCACTGTGATTATCCCCTGCAATGCCGGACTATTTCAGTCTGTTCACAGTGTTACCTCCTCTGTTTCACCGGACTAACATCACAGCTTACAGTCGCTGTACCTCAAACACCCGGCCAGCATTCAGCTGATAGATTAAAGCCACATAAAATCTGACTACAAAAGGATTATCCACTCAGTTTTTCCCACTGTTGACATTAAAAGAGGTGTGCACGAGCCCTGACTCCTAGTTTCCACTAGAGGTTTATAGTAAAAAGAAGACTTAATGACTTCCTGAGTAATTGTGGAGTGAGTCATAGCACTTACAGACAACAGTCGAGTTGATTTGCCAAGCAAGTGGCAGAAAGAAGCAAACTAAGAGAGGCAGGTGAAGTAAATAGTAAGAGTGTCATCAGGTGTATTCATTACTGACAGTTACATAACAAAAGCCCCACACACAGAGCGAGACACATGAGATATTTATGACAATAACACAAGTCTGTGTTCTTGTAAAACTCCAAGAAAGACAGAAAGAAAGCAAACGGGGTACAATTTTTATACTTAAAAGGACCTATTATTTTCTCTCTATCTTTCAGCCTCATTGGGGTTTTTTTTGTAACTTGTTTTCCTATTTTTAGTCACATTTCTCCTTCTTCTAACTATTTGCCTTTCCTATTAGTTTCACTGTAGTTACTGAAAATGTATTTAGTAGGTACTGAGTAATAGGCTTTAAGATGAATGACTGAATAATAAGTCAGAAGTGGTGGTCCTCTTGCAGTCCTGGGATTTGATTGCACCTAGCTCGAAACCGTAAGCCTTTAATGCATAGTGTCCACAATTATAGACAGTCCATTTAGGCTGATATTTAGTCAAGAATAAGATGTAAATCACTTGAGAAAATTACTGTAATTTAGTATAAATCATTATTATCTCGGTTGCTCTCAAGAGTATAATACTATTCTCAGACTGTCTACACAAAATCCAAAATTAAATACAAAATAACTATCAGCATGAAATATTTTAGACCTGAATGACATCAATCTGTTTATAAACACACTAAAGGTATAAAGTTTAATCCTTTTTTACTCATGGTATTCCTATACATTACTATATATTTGTAGACAATCCATTTAATTTTAATATAAGTGATAGTTTTAAATAACATCTTAAGGAGTTTCTCCTTGACACTATTGCCACCGGCTTGCTCAATTGGGATAAATTCACACATTTAAAATCTGGATCCCATGTTTATATGTTTCTGTAAAGCTGCTTTGAGACAATGTCCATTGTAAAAAGCGCTATACAAATAAAATTGAATTGAATTGAATTAAAATAATTTTTGCATGAAACGATTAACCACTGAGCTAAAACATCCGCTTACAGACTTTGGGGCAGTGATAATATGATTGTTCCATATATTTAACCTGTGTAATATATTATTCTACTCAAGAAGAAGTACATTCAAAAACCAGTCCTTCAGTGCTTAAACACTAGGCCTGAAAAGTTTCATAAATAAATATTAACAATTTCCACACGCTTTCCACAACAATTTTAACATTGTTTCCAGCAGCAACACAGTATGTTCTTTGCAGAGTTCTTTCTCTGAGTTCTCCGAGTCTTTCATCTCCTGCACGCGCTTACATATTTGTTTTCAGTGACGTATTGTGAGCATCTATATCACTGTCACTAGACATCATTAAACATTCAGCTGTGTGTTTTTCCAGAGTAATTATCAAGCGGTCACATTTCACCCCTCCTCCACCTCGATTTGAGCTTGGATCTCCTCCCTGTAGTGATGTTCCCATAACTGATAACAAACAGACATTACATTTGCTGGTAACAAAAGCCATTAACACCTTTCTGCTTGGCTCCATTTGACACTTTCAATACACAGATGACGCATGAAGCTTATCATCAATCCTACTTGGATGGAAAAAAAAGGCTTCATTACATTCCACATCTTGATCTACAATCCCTACAACAACCAGTATGGATATCTGAAGAACCTGTGGGTATGGGTGTGGGTGTGTGTGTGTAACATGTTCTAACCTGGACAGAGACTGAGGGAATCCTTCACACAGTGATCTCACCCCTTAAAAAGCCTCTGGACTGGATATAGCCCCTTGAGGCAAGGGAAGGGGTGGACAGAGACCAAACACAATGAAACAAGGCTGACGCAATGGTTTAGTGCTGCACTATCAAGCACACAGCTCATAGATGTGTTTCCATTTGCCTGAATCAGGATAGCACTGTGGGTTCTCAGGATCAAGAGAGGTACAACAAAGCACTGTCTGCTTACGCTGTGAGAAAAATAAAAACTATACTGTATAATAGTAAGTCTATATTATTTAGAATTAGTTGACAGGCTGGCTGTTAACAGTCTATAGATGATTCGTTGATTGGTTGTAGAGTGTCTACACGACAATTTATATTTATGGCAATTGACAGACACCCGTTTCCAGAGCAACTTACATTTCTCTAATTTATACAACTGAGCATTAGAGACTTAAGGGCCTTGCTCAGGGGCCCAGCAGTGACAGCTTGGCAGTGCTGGGATTTGAACTCACGACCATCCGATCAGTCGTCCGACCTCTTACCCGCTGAGCTACCACTGACCCCTAAAAATAAAGTTTTACCAACTTTACTGGTAAAAGCCGTGGCTTTTATTGAGCATTTTCCTTTCCTTAGCTTACCAGTGCAAGCTTGTCAAGTGTATTAGCAACCTAAACCATATTAGACCTCACACCAGAGTTCAAAGAACATAGTAATATGCAGTGGGGTAAACAATATAGCATAATAAGCTGTAATGAATAGCTGAATTGGCTAACTGTATGCGTGTGTAATTCTACCTCCCTGTAATTCTGCAGTTCAGGAGTTATACAGTCTGTGAGAACAGAGAGGAAAAAAGGAAGAGACAGAAAAAGAAAGAGAGTGTGTGCTCTTTTTTTTTTAAGGCATTTAATAAGGAATTCATTCTCTCATCTATTTAGATCAATACAGCATTGTGTCTTTAATCTCCCTCCTCTCGCATGACCCTTTTGACATTTTGGCTCACACTGCCTGCTCTCTACTGCATGCCTGAGTCGAATTTTTCATCCTGAATAGAAGATAGGAATCCAGTATATGTAGTTAAACTCAAAAACCTAATGCATCCAATATGATCTTATACTCATGGACAGCATCCAGGTAAACCTTCAAGCCTTCTTTGTCCATTCCATGGACAATGCTTTGTTATATTCGAATAGCACAGTAGTTTTATAATGTATTTATTTTTCAAACATCTATACAGTATATTTCACCGAAAAGGAAAAAAAAAAAAAAAAAGTTTTCCACTGATCTGGTTAGTCCACCAACTCACCAAGCCAGTTTTTAAGATAGACTATCAAAGATGAACTCTGAGGTCTCACACATTGTGTCACCACTGGCTGAAATATGAACTTTGTACACCTCGAATCAACAATGTTCTTTAAACTGACATAACAATGCTCTGAAATAAGACTGAGCCAAGTGAGCAACCAGACCACAAACAAACCACATATCTTCATATGCGTATACAATTTTTCTCAAAATTTAAAAACAAAATTCCTTAGGCATTGCCATACCATACCAGGGCCTGAGAAGATATATATGAAGTGGATAAATGAAACCACTATGAAGTTTAAACATCTGAAATGTGACTTACCTTTGGAAACGTCATAATCGTCAGAATCCTGTCTGGTGGTGGTACACTCTCCAGTCCAATCTCCCAACCTCCCTGACCGACTTTGACCATTACTGACAATCCTCTTTGGTTTACTGCCTTTAAACCAGCTGAAAGTCCGACTCAGAGATGAGCCACGCTTCTTCCTGCTCTTTGTTATTTTATTCTGCAGGGCCAGCATCTCCATGATGTCCTTGGGCACCAGATCCCCTGTGGAGTTGCTCCTGGACATCCTCACCTGTCACTTACTCCAATCCCGTGACCTGTTATAGCAGTAGCATTGGTGGAAAAAAAAGAAAAATGATCTTTTTTCATCATCTGTAATCATCTGTAAGGGCGTAGTCTGTGATTTTGACAGAAGGTAGCTGTTCAAAACACAACCCTCCCGTCACATGCACACACTACACCTGCTGCATAGGCTAAAATGCCTGAATGCAAGGATTTTTCTACATCTTTATGGTTAACAGATTAACAGGACAGTCAAGACAAACATGAGGAAGGAGTGGTAAGGGACCAAAAATTCAGGAATGTGGTCAATCCTGACTTGTGGCTAGCTTGCTCAAGCAATAATATCAAATCCAAAGATTAGTGTCTTATCTGTGTTTCGACACGGAAGGAGGAATGTGTGAAAGAGACTGAGGGACAAGCATTTTGTCCATGGCTCACATGCAGTTCAGTTTAGCCAGTATTTCCAGTATGTGCAAAATGTAGCCTCAGCAACATTGTCATCCTTGGGGGGAAAATGCCTTCTCAGTAATCCTCTTAATTTTATTCATGTAATGAAAAATGGTGGGGGGAAAAACCAAATGAGAGAAAGTAAGGGACAAATAAATGCAGGAAAAAACCTCTGCATTTCCCCCTCCCTGTCAGAGGTATGTAGTAGAAAACTCCTAGCTTTGCCACAAGCACGTTATTTTTTGCAGGAGTGTGCCTGTGGCAAAAATCTCTCAGAGCTGAAGGATGCAGCTTTTAGACAGTGTAACTGATCAGTCTTTGCAATATGCAATTGTGTGCATCACAGAAGCAGAAGATGAGAGTTGCTCAAATGAGAAACACACTCCTGAATACACCCACCAGTGCAAAACAATCATCCCGAAACCCACCCTTAAATACGCAAACTTGTGTTCAGAAGCTTAAATACAGTCAGAATGATATACTACAGACTCTATATGTTGTAAACTAAGGACCTTTTCTACTCTAGCACAAATAGTTCCCACTTACATGCTGGTTGACATGAATACAAACATATTACCTACATACAAGAACACTTCCGAGGGGATCTTCCCTTCTTTTCTTGTCTGCCTTGTTCTCTCTTTCTCGTCGGAGCTGTGCTGTGCTGTTATTCAGCTCTTTTGGGGTGACTGAAGCTCCATGCTGGTCATTCCTCCCCCTTCTGACTGCTCTAGCTCCAGGATTGGACTGGCCTCTATTCAAGTTCGCAAAGAGGAACTGCAAACTCACATGTGTATTCCAGCCAGTGCTGTTTCACAATGACAGACTGCCTCCCTGTCTCACACTCTCCCTCCTCTCTCTCTCTCTATCTCTCTCTCTCCTCTGTCTTTCTCTCATACCCACTCACACCCCTCTCTGCCTTTCTCGTTGCTCTCAGACAGAGCTTTTCTGTTGTTCCCCCTTGTTTTCTGGCAGTCTCATATCTTGTATTTCTTCACTCTTCCTTTCCAGTGCTTGCTCAGGTTTCTCAGGTAGTTGCCTGTTTTACCATCAGCTGACGTCTGGTTAGCATCTGTGTATAATTAACTTTATGTAGCATTTCTGTTTTAGCAACAGACATCTGGATAAAGGAATGATGGAAAAACCAAGAGGATCATACATCCCTCCTTGAGCAAGAAAAATACGTACTTCAATCTTCATGTCTGTGAATGACAGGCAGACTTCAACAGGTGAAATATGAACTGCCACTTTTCACTTCACGTGACAAACCATGACCTAACAACCTACTTATCTCACAATCACACACAAACTCAAGGAGTGGTCAATGACAGAAAGTGTCTCCTTCCCTTATAGAAGACACATTTATTTATATTTATTAACTTCTATACATGGATAAAAAGCACTGCATGTGTGTTTGATTTGGACGTTAATTCTTTCATTTTTTATTATGAAAATACCTCAAAGGAATATTTCCTAGAACTTCCTGACAGCAACATTGCATGAATTGGCTATTTTCTGCTGTTTCACAGTGGAGTGAAGCTATAAAGCAGAAACTAAGAATAACGCAGGCGAATGATGGCACACCACATGGGAGTCAGTGATGGGGAAATGGAGCAGGGCTCATCTGGTTTCAATAGTGTTATGATGGTGTAGAGCTGAGCTTCCCACTACTATCTGAGAGGGCCATAAGCTATATGCTGGCTCTCACATTGTGTACCTGCTCATACTATAAATGGTGTGGGGTTTATTTAATTATAGTACAGAGCAGTACAGTACAGTTTGTAAACCCATGTCCACAAGAACTTTATGTATCTGTCAAAAGCACATTCTTATGTGTTGCTGGTGTGCAGAGGCAGCTGGTATAAATGGGCTAGCAGGACTTTTAAAGACAGAAATACAGCAATATAGGTAAGCATTCATTTTATAGCATCCATATCAGATTATTTGCTTTTAACAAATGTCTTAATAAAGACCCAAGGCTGGGGCGGATTTCTTGTCCCATATAGTAAATGAATTTGTGTCAGGTGATTACACTTACATACTGTTATGTAATTTTCACCAAAATATAGATGTTCACCGCTCAAATCATGCAAGCATCACTTCCATCATTTTAGAAAATAGAATCAAACATTGCAACATAATTTAAGCTTTACATTAAAATCGTAAGGTTTCACCATTATATTAAAGTGGAAAGTTTAGGAAATGGAACTGTCTCTCTAAAAAAAAAAAAAACCTTTGCATAGTGCTTGATTTGTTTTGGTGGATTCTTCAGATATATTCAGATGAATTAGGCTCAAATATTTGCTCTCATCCTAAGCACTTTAATCAATCTTACTGTGATTTAACTCTATTCTGTACATTCTTTCTGCACGTATAGCAGCTATATTTTTAGACATTACAGTGAATTACTGCAACCCTCTAATGCTAGGTGCTGACCTGGTATTTCTTCACGGAACATAACCATGTTGGAGGTATTGGTTAATGTATTTTCTCTCATGTGTGTCAGTGGAAATGTAACTAGATTTAAAGCTAAACACAGATAAGGGAACAATGTGGACTGGGATATGTATCTAAGAAGATCCAAGATGCACTGTAAACAGTGGAGGAGGTTTTTTTCATGGTTCTTGTTTGACTTTTCAAAGCACAGATGGAGCTCTTCTGCTCCTGGCCTCTGCCTGTACTGGACTGGACCAGACTGGATTGAGTAAATCAGTGCTATCTGGGGATCACTATCTCAATCTTTTTTTTATCATGCTCTAATCCAGAGAGACATTCTCAGGAATTTAGCTTGAAGCATTGTTTGGGTGTGGACACTTTAGTATTTTAGTGTTGAGACTGACAACAAGAGTATGATCAGAATAAAGAGAGAGGCAACAGGAGAAGGAGAACCCCAGTATATAAGTATATAGGGTGGGGCTAGAGTGAGTCAAACTCAAGTTTAGTCACTCCAAACAGATTGAAATGTTTAAATGCTGCTATAGCAACTATGAAGAAAACAGTCATCTGCTATTTCATGCAAAAAGTATTTTTTTCCTGGTAAAACTATGGGGTACTAACAGCAGAGTTTATTTCTGTGCAGCTGTGCATGAACATAAACCACCGGCAAATACTGAACTTTGTGTGTAGTCTTTGATCTGGCAAAAACCAACTTTTTCCAAGTGCTATGAAATAAAATAAAACAGGCTTAACAATCAACCAGGAAAATGCACATTCTGTGTCATAAACTAATAGGCACGTGCTTTCG